AAGGCACCAAGTAACTGACACACAACCTGACTGGAAAGCCTAAGGTGGAGGGGAGGACGGGCAGACGCCAGTCTGATCAAAGGGAACAGAATTTCCAGAGGGCGGGCGGTGGAAATCAAGTCCAACCAGACGATGGAGACCCTGCCTCTCTGTGCTCTGGACCAGGTTGGCCGGGAGGGGCCCAGCTCCTGCAGTCACAGATGCCACACCCAAGTGGCTGGAGACTGACGGAAGGACATCATGGGGGGAGGCAGGAGGGGAGGGCGTTCGCCAGCGTTTAAACACCTCCCGGCCTCAGGGGACGGCTTCTTCTCCAGACAGACGTGCACAGGCGGGGGGAGCGCCCTGAGACGGCGTCGCCCGAAACTCCAGACACAGACCGCGGAGGCCTCGTGTCTGAAAGGGAGCAAAGTGACCCAGTAAAGGGTAGAGCAGGGCTAGGGGATGTCAGCTGAGCCCGTTCTGGGGAATGGGAATAAAGAGGGGACAAGGGGCCTTGGCTTATTGATTCCAGATCCACCGACAACAGCCATGGCTCTGAGAACACAGGTACGTTCCAGAAACGACGCCACGCCACCCTCCTGAGTCCAGCCTCTGCCATGGGCCCCACTCCCAGCACCCTGTCACCAAGAGGAAAGTCCTGACAACCACACCGGCTGAGACTGCGAGGGGGCAGCTTGGACGAGTGGAGCTGGGGAGGGGACAGGAGGCGTCCACGGCAACCAGTGGCCGCGGGGGTCACTGGAGGAAGGCCAGCTCCTGAGTGGGGGCAACAAAGGAGAAGCGGGCAGAGGCACGCAGACTGGAGATGGGGCTCCGGGGCTCAGGTTGGGAGGGGTCCCCGCAAAGGTAGGGGCTCTGGGGCTTCCACTGAGGGGTCACCAGGCGTCTGCATCAGGCCATCGGCCTGTGGAGGGACAGTGCTCTTTGAAACGGCTCCCTCGGTACACTGGCTGGAAGCTGCAGAAGGAGAGCCTGCTCAGCTCCTCAGCGTTGGGCGGGCGTGGGGTGCTCCCCAGAGACAGAGCACACTCGGCACGAGAGGAGCCCCTGCTCAAAGGAGTATCTGGGCATTTATTCCACAAGTGTCTATTTCACACCGGCCTTGCGGACAGACAGATGGGCATGACCGGTCCATGCCGGGAACTAACTGCCCAGAAGGTTGCAGCTGTGCGATCACACAATTACAGCGAGCTCTCTAGCCCTCCTGGTCCAGCAGAACCAAGGGAGGACTTCTTTGGAGCCAAGTCATCAAACTGAGTATTGTTTCAGACCCCCCAGTGATGCTGCCCTGTCATTCGTCCTGTGGGGCAGGATGGCTAAGTAATATTCAGTAGTTAATTCAAAGATGCCCTTTAAGTGGACTGAGGGCCCCGTGGTGGACTGAATGCAAAGGTGTGAAATACTACCCAAGGGCACGAGAGCCCACAGAGCAACTCAAGCCTCACCTGGGCTAGTCTCCACTACCCTGAAAACACCACCCAGTGGAAACTTGCTGAAAAACCAGTACTTTACAATTCCAGAGTCTCGATAAGGCAGCCAGTCCCCAGGGCATCAGAAGATCCTGTCTCAGAATGGATCATATGTTAATCTATTTCCCACTTTTAATATATTATGAAGAAACAATTAGGGAGGATTAATTATTCTATTACCCTTTACCATAAGAAGTGACCTTCACCCTAACAAAACATATAGGAATTTATCAGGAAGACAGTAGTTAGACAAGTCTGTCTTCCTTAGTAAGAGACTTGGAACTAGAGGCATGTGGACAAAATGCAGTTGGACCAGCTTTAAAAGAGGGAAAATAATGATAACATCTGCCCCACAGGCTGACGTGAAGATAAAACGAGATCACGTCCAAGAGACTAGTCCGGACTCCAGAACTCACGATACTCGATTAATATGAGATAATTCTGCTACACCTTAAGTACAACATTTGTTGTTACAGTAAACACTACCAGATGAGCACGAATCTGCCTTGGCATAACCAAGCATAGGCTTTAAGCCTCTGGTTCATAATGATTCAAGACTGAGTCTCTGGCCAGCTCTGTTAAAAACAGCATTGAGTCTGGACGCACACATGGCAACAGCGATCCCAGGAATCGCCTTCCTCTTTCCCAGGGCCCAGCGAGAGGAGGCCAGTATTTGTAGAGACACAATTTGTTTCCATCAGCAGGTTAAGCCAACTTCCCAGTGTGGCTGATGCCATGACCCTGTGTCGCCGAGCCGCCTGCAGAGCTGGTCTGGGAACCCAGCAAATCCTCTGGGGGCTGAATGTTCTGGCAGGTTTTCTGAACAGGCCCAACTTGTTGACCAGAAATCCAACCCATCCCAGTGCCAACTAAGAGAGACAGGCGCCGACCCCTCGGTTGGACACTGTCTGTAAGACAGTGGCTTCTGAGGTCCCAAGGGCCTCTGTGGGAAAGATTTTTTAAAAGGAGCAGAGAAAAGGGACATTTGCTGGTGTTTTCCCCGCCGATTAGAGCAGACAAGACTCTGAGCTAACTGGGGGAAAGACCATGGAGGACACTCCCCGGAGGGGAAAGGCAGAGGCCAGTGGTCCCCTCCCGCTCCTAGAGGCAGCCGTGCTGACACGAAGCAGCAGAGCTGTCCCAGAGCAGCAAGAGGGCTGGGCTGCCACACTGCTATCTGCCAGAGCAGCTGGGCTCAGCTTCTCCGATAGGGACACTGCTCCCTCACCAGCCGGCACAGACCTCTGCCCTGAGGCCCCTGCTGCGTCCTCACCACTCGGCCTGCCCTGACCCCTCCCCCAGGACGCGGCATCTGTCACCGCGGGGGCCTCCAGGACTTTCCAACTGGTCAGGGCTGGTGGTGAAATGTTTTAAGGACCCCCTGACAGAGGGGGGACAATCCCAGAGAGAGTTTATCGACCTGCATCATCTCAGGGGGTGGAGGCCGAGCAGGTAGGCGGGCAGCCTCTCTTCCAAAGCCCAGGGCACAGCTGCCTCAACCATCGGCCCCCGTTCTTATTCCCACCAGCGTCCGCTGCAAGGTAAACACTAACCCCAAGAGACACTCAGTTTAAACAACTGGGTGTGGTGTTTGCCATCTCTAACTAGAGCAAAAGCGAGGGAGCACAGAGCTCCCCACAGTGCGGCTCAGGGTGGAGACTGTGAAAACCACTCACAGCCCAGGGAAGGGCAGCCATTCGGCCTTGGTCCACCCACTCAGCACCGCCCTACCCATCTGAGGACCGCAGGGTCTCCCTTCCATCAACCTCCAGCGAGGACAACCTCCCCACTTAACCAGGAAAGCCCCGAACGTCTGAGACTCAAACATCACAAACTTAGCTCCCAATTCTCTGTCCTCTTTTTGTATATTGATCAAATAATGCACCACATACCACGAAGTTGTTAGAAATTAAACCAAGAGTGTGCAATTGTACTGCCAATTAAGTCAGAATGGAGAATTAATGATAATGCTTGCCAACCCCACCTCCCCGTCTGACACACATGCACATACACACACACTCTCTCCTCTAGAGGAAATCTTTAAGAAGGACATGGCCAGACCTGTAGGAACTCTTTTTTTTTTTTTTTTTTTTGGG